CGTGATTTTACGAAATTTTCTCGGTTAATTTTCTAGTACGAAAACTTCGTTTTTAACCAATTACGATACATCGTTATTTTACGAATTGCTTCGTAAAATCCAAAGCTCTAACTAAGGGGTGTGAAATTTGCATATATTTTGTCAAATTTTATGACATATGGCCCCAAAATTATTTGCATACGTTACGAAATATATTTGTAACTTTACGAAATGTTTCGTAAATTGGCCCTAACGAAATATTTTCGTAAATTATTTTTTACGAAGCATTTCGTAACACTTTTTTTCGTAAAATCACGAAAACTTTTTACAGTGCACCCTGACAATTGTTTCCTTGAATCAAGGAAATGTTGTCTAAAACAACGAGGACTAATACATTTATTTATTCATTTTGTTAATAAAAGGGAGCCTTATTTCTTTCAAAGTAAACTCTTTATGTTGTGATACACTTTAATAAAAAGGAGATGCCTCGGTTGGTGTTGGTGTTGGTGTAAGCCCAGCGCACTTGTTTTCAATGAAACCATTTTCAGGCTGGGGCTGCTTTTGATTCTGGTCGCTCCCCGTGCATCAAACACGCACCGCCGTGGGCAAGAACAATTATTTCTCCCCGAAACTCTCTGTTATTGTTGTGGAACCCCTCCCTATTATGTCTGACCTTTCGGGGTTGGCATGGGAAAACACACACACGGACACGGACATTTAGCAGTTTGGATTTTGCTTCTCTCTAACCTCTTTGCTAGGCTTCCTTTTTTTGCGCGCGGCGATGATATGTTTGGGCGTGTGAATCGGACCGAGCTAACCTTTCAGTGCGTTTCTTGTGTTGCAGACCTGAAACGCGAGGCCACGATATGCCACATGCTCAAGCACCCGCACATCGTGGAGCTGCTGGAGACGTACTCGTCCGAGGGCATGCTCTACATGGTGTTCGAATAGTGAGTACCAGACGGTCCGCTCGGTCGATCAAGCCGAGCAGCCTGACCTCTCTAGAAACCCAAGTGTGTACTTGATTGCAGTACCCCCTGCATACTTACATGTATGCAGGAAGTACTGTGTACTTGGCAAGTACGCAGGAGGTAATGCGTACTTATCGGTCAAGTACACACTTCCTCCTGCATGTTTAACCAGGTACACACTGGGGTTCTCAGAGCCGGCCGAGCAACATGTTTGACGGAACGCTTGTCTCTCTTGTGTCGCAGCATGGACGGCTCAGACATCTGCTTCGAGATCGTGAGGAGGGCGACAGCTGGCTTCGTGTACAGCGAGGCGGTGGCCGGGTGAGTGTTGTCACGTGGTTGCGGCGCGCTGAGCCGATGGGGCGGGCTCCGCCCGGGCGGTGCCTCCAGCAGCCGTCCCTCCCGAGCTCTCCTCCTCCCCTCACAGTTTGCTCTCCCGTGGCGTCGCCCGTGTCGCGGCGCCTTAGTGGTTGCTCGTACTTAAATCGCTTCATCGGTCGGGCGCCGCCCGCTGCTGCCTGGGCCCGGGGCGTGCTCGGGGAACTGGAAACCCCCTAATTGTCCCCTCGAGATTCTTTACATAATCCCCTGCTGCCAAAATGTCTCGCATTCTCTCTAAATGTTTGAGCTTGCCTCTGGTAATGGCCCTTTCCAAATTACGTATTCGGGAATGCTGGCGTTCCTTTTGGCATTGCTTTATTCTCCATCCCCGATTGTTACTCTTGAAAGGCTCTTCCTCTTACGCGCTTCTGCTCTATTACTTTTTCCAGGCACTACATGCGGCAGGTGTTCGAGGCGCTGCGCTACTGCCACGAGAACGACATCATCCACCGGGACATGAAGCCGCACTGCGTCCTGCTCGCCACCAAGGAGAACTCGGCGCCCGTCAAGCTGGGCGGCTTCGGCGTGGCCATCCAGCTGCAGGACGGCCACATGATGAACGGCGACAACATGATGTCGGAGAACCGGCCGTGCCTGAGCCCCAAGGGGCAGATGTACCTGAAGGCCGACTGTGACGGTGAGCACATTGGCGGGAGGGTGGGTGCGTGAGGGTCCTTCACTCAAAAAAATCAGTGTACACCCTTAAAAAAAAAAACACGAAAAAATCATGAAAAATTAACGAAGAGTCAGAAAAAATTACAAAAAAATCAAGATAGAATCAAAAAATCTAGAGAAAATCACAAAAAATCAAGAAAAATAAAAAAAATCAAGAAAAACAGAAAAATCAGTGTACGCTACAATTTATAGTAAAGGGCCCCTCGGGTAGGTGCGGGAGGGTCACGATCACCTTACAGTTTCCTGACGTTGCGTGCTCGTCTCGCCGCAGGCCGCATCGGCACCCCGCACTTCATGGCGCCGGAGGTGGTCCGGGAGCAGCGCTACGGCAAGCCGGTGGACGTGTGGTCGGCCGGCATCCTACTGCACATCCTGCTGTCCGGCACGCTGCCCTTCCTGGGCACGAGGGAGCGCCTGTACGAGGCCATCTGCCGCGGCAGAGTCAACGTGAGTAAGGCCGCGCGTGTGCGCGCTCTCGCCCGCCCGAGTGCGTGGCTGTGGTGTGTCACCGGGTGACTAGTGTGTCACCGCGTGACTGGTGACTGTGGTAGTGTAGTGTGTCACCGCCTCGTCCTGTGCCACAGTTGGACGGCCCGTGCTGGGAGTACATCAGCGACTCGGCCAAGGACCTGGTCCGGCGGATGCTGACGCCCGACTACCACCAGAGGATCACGATCCAGGAGGTGCTGTCGCATCGCTGGCTCAAGGACCGTGACAAAGGCCGGTTGCACCTGTCCGAGGCCATCGAGGAGCTGAAGAAGTTCAACGCGCGCCGCAAGCTGAAGGGCGCCGTGCTGGCCGCCGTGTCGTCGCCAAAGTGGATCTCGTTCTACTCGGAGCACAACTCTGACGCCATGTCCGACTACGGCGAGGACGAGGTCACCATGTCCGGTAAGTCACTAGCTTTGCCCTCTGCCCGTCCCGGGCGCCGCGAGCCGCAAGACTCACTCCCTCTTCTCTCGCTGCCCACAGCCGTTGGCCTGGTCATGGACTCGCTGGACGACATCCACTGCCTGCAGGAGGCCTCGCACAAGGACCGGGAGATGCTGGTGCCCTTGCTGGAGGACCGGCAGCTGCACGCGTTGCTCGAGGTGAGCCAGGGGACCCGAGACGGACGCGGAAGCGCGCACGCCCACGCGCGTATCGAACGGCCGCGCCGAGCGGCAGGCGCCGTGCCCCAAGTGAGGTTATGTTGCCCCTGGCCGAGACACTTGTTGCGCCCTCTGTCGGAGCAGTCGGAGAACCCGGTGCGCGCAAGGGGTGGCGGTACGGCACGCCGCCCATAGAGGGCGCCACTGCCGGGGGGTTGGAGCCGCCCCCACCGGGCGCCCCTGTTGGTGACCACGTTGTGGTCACTCCATGACCGCTTGAAGCTTTTTATTTCCCCCCTGATTATTGCTCGCATGCACTGCCCCCCGTGCGTGGACAAGGCGAGTGCGGGGAGCGATTCCTCGACGGGTTCCTCGCGGCGGTTGATTAGAGTGGAGTCACCTGTTGCGCACCCGCTCTCTCGCGGGGGGTAGCGCGAACCACTAGCTCGGACCTTTGCCGGTAGATGGCAGCAGCCGCTGCTCTGGTCCACGCAGAATCCCCGAGCTTTACTCATCCTGGCACTTGAGAGTACGTAGTATGGCATCCGAGCCTCTCCTTTCCCTCCTCGAGCCCACTCTAATTACCTGGATTCCTCTTGAAAAATCGTATTCTGCCTCGCACCACTCGGCCCACGTCAAGTACCCCTTTCCCTCGTTTCACCGTAGCGTGCCCAGGTTTGTCGAACCCAGCAAGCAGGCGGCGGGGGAGGATGCAGCGGAAATTGCTCTCTGATTGAATCCCAGCTGCCTGCACAATGTGCTTCAGCTCTGCGCTCGACTCGCTCCGTTCACCGCTTTCAGCTCCATTTCCGTCCGCCCCGTTTGCTGCCTCTCTCACTAGATTTCACTTCAGCTTCCCGTGATGTACTTTTTCCTTTTGCTTATGCGGACCTTCAGCCCCGGTCCGCTGGTCCGCCGCCCCCGCGCCGCCCTCGCGTCGCTTCTTCTTTTTTCCCCCCAATCCGTAGAGTCGCCAACACCTGAGTGGGAAAGGCTTTCAGCCGAGCCTGACGCGGCCCGTCCCTCTCCGAGAAGAACTAATCGCAGACTTGCAATCCTTTGTTTCTTCTTCTTCTTCTCTCGCTCCATTCTGTCCCACCCATTCATTCAACTTGCTTCCGGTTCTGGTCTTGTGTCCTCGAACAAGTTCTTTTATACGGCGTGCTGCTGCGGGGGAAAAGGGTCTGTTAGGGAAAGGGAAGGGGGTCGTTTCGGGCTTCGGATTGCTTTGAGTCTCCTCGGCCGGTGCGGAGGAAGGGGGTGGGGCACGAATTAAAGAAAGCGCCGCGCGGATGGACGCCGCCCCACCGCTCCCCACCGCCCCGCCGTCTCACCGCCCCTCACCTCAGCGCCCCACCGCGTCCAGACCGCCCCGAAAACACGCAAACTGTAAGAACGACTCCCTGCTGGGGACGGGATGCGGAAAGAGTGTATACAAGATACTAATGTCGTTCGCCTCTGGTCGATATCTATTCTATAAAAGGGTCAGATTAGTTTCCATCATGTCGTTGTCACTCCCAGTCCAGTCCCCCTCTGGGGAGTGGGAGTAGGAGTGGGAGGGG